GTGGTAGAGGGGGTCGTTGTTCAAACTTTAAACAAATTGGGAGTGTGGTAGTTGAGGGCAAGTGGAAGCATCAAGAGGATAAGATTGTGGTAGGTGGATGGATTGTGGAAACAGCAGTTATACAAAATTATTTTTAAAATCTTTTTAAATCTATCCCGATTGGGCCATTTTTGTCTAATATTCTGTCTGAATTGATGAATTTAAGAGTCCAATTTAAAATAGTTTTAACTCAACTCGTTCAAGTTATAAAATGAAAACATACTAAATCACCCAATTTCTCAGTGCCGTCAACTTTAGAAAAATAAATTTCTTTATTGAAAATGCTGTTGGTATTCCCCCGCCTTTAGAGGTTCTAATATGATAGATGGTTTCTTTCTTGGGCCTGAGACGTAGGAATCAAGTTTTTTACTGTATTGACATATAGTGGCGTCACATAAAATAAACTTTTCATATTAAAACTTTTTTGAAAATATTATAGTTAGAAAAACAAAAATGTATGGCAATAATTAGCATTTGGAATTGTCATAATAGTTCTAATGTAATGATTTGATAACATTTACCGCAAATTTCCATTCTAATTTTTTCGGCTTTTTGTTATTCCCCATTAAATTTTAATGAATTTTTGTGAAATTTTGAAAATTTATGCCTAAAATCCAAACAAAATAATTATTTTGAAAATATTGTCCAAAACATTGATAATCCGTATTTTTTTTACTCCCCCCCCCCTGTATATATTTAAATTATGAACGAAAAGGGACTGTAAGCTTAATTTCAATTGACCCTCAGTGCAAATATGATTGTGCAGATTCACAACCATACCGGCCTTGAAACCTTTGACGGAATAATAATGTGGAAGATATTGTCGGTTTTCTTGAGTTAGTGTTTAATTATGAAAATTCCTATATGTTTTTGTAGAGGAACCTCAATAGAAAAAAATCAGTATTTCAAATTTTCACATAATTCTTGATGAGACAAAGCTTTTTAGGGTACCATTGTGAATTGGGCAACGCCATCTTGGAATATATAAGTTAAGCTACAAGTACAATGATCAAATACAAATCGATAATATAATCTTTTTACGTAGAAGTTAATTCTGACTGGGACGTACGAGAGCTTTAGAACACCTCTGCGCGCGAAATATTTGTTGTGCATTCCTAGAACGCCATGACCCCTTCCCCCTAAAACACCCAATCAATTTAAAAAACAATCTTGATTAGTTTTTGTTATCTATATTAAGGAATCCTATAAATCTTTTATATATGAAAAGATTAAACCACACCTTTATATGATTAAACCTTTATATGCCCAGTTTTTCTCCCTCCCAGTTCTTAAAAAATCCTCCAGGTATGTTTTGGTTAGGAGTACCAAACAATTTTTAGCGTTTTAATTTGTGAATTTGTGGGTAAAATGAAATAAAAAGGATTAAAAACTTGCCTTTTGAAATCAAATTATAATAACCCCTTGAAGAAAAAAATTTTAATTNAAGTTATAACTTTAAAACGTAAACTGAGCATGAGAAACAATAATTGTGCAGTGTAAACAGACCCCATTTTACTACATTAATGATTTAATAAGTTTCTAGTAAAACTATTTGCTTTGTAACAACATCAAATACACTTAATTATTTATATAATGTCGTCTTCCTATTCCATTTTTTCTAGTTATCACTGTATATAAACTGTATATTCTGAAGATGTAAACATTATTTTCGCATTTCTCGCTTATTGAATTATGAGCAATATTCCAATAATGTAAAGTAGCTTCTAACTGTTTCTCATTTGCTTTAAAGCAATACATAAATCACTATGGACTCAAAGATTTTTCGTGGTACAAATTATTTTTTTGAAATGTTGTAAACTAAAATTAAAAATGGCTGACTGAGACTTTGGAAAAACATGTTTAGAATTAGCTTATTTAAATAAATAAAAAAAAATATTGATTTCCATTAGCAAAATTTTTATGAAAATTAGATTCCGGAATAAGGTTTGACTATTTCATATGACATGTACTGTAGGATGTTGATATATGTACTGTAGGATGTAGATATCTGTACTGTAGAATGTAGATATCTAACCTGTTATGAAATAATTTTACCTCTTTAAGAATAAAATACTGTGAAACTCCATCTTCTGTTTGTATTATGTTAAAATAATCTCTAAACATTTATTCATTAAATCATTTATACATTTATTCATTTATTCATTTATACATTTATTCATGTATTCATTTATTCATTTATTCATTTATTCAATTATTCAGTTATTGATTTATTTATTTAAATAGTTATTCATTTATTTATTTATTTATTCATTTTTTCATTTATTCATTTATTCATTTGATATTATTTATATTGCTACCTGTCTGTTTGTGAGATAGAGTTAGAACGAGGAATTATCCAGGAATCCTGGGAAAGTAAAAATCAAAGATTTATAGTTTATTACATTAGTGATAATTAGTTATTGGGACAACAAGAACCAATATATACAAAGAAGTAATCTTGTCTCTCATTTATATGTTTGATCATAATTCTGGAACACTTTTAACGATTTGCCTCAAATTTTGATTGGTTATAGAACCACGGAAATGTACTTAACGTGGTATTGAATTCCAAGTTAGATGGTTTGATTATTTTAGTGGAAAATTAGTTTCGAGGTAAGGCTAGGCTCAAAATCTTGTAGAAATTCAAATCTAATCTAGTAATGATTTATTTTTCCGCTAAAAATTTAATAGGTTGAGCATAAAAATTACAAATATGTGTTCAACTGATTGCAAACGTAAGGAAAACAGTTATAGCAGAAATGTTTTAGGATGATTTCCTGGAAGTTAAAAAAATGAACATTGTGCTTAGTGTATGCAAATATTTATATTAACCTAACACAAATTCTTAAAATGCTTCAACATTGAGTTTCTGCTGTGTGTGTGTGTCCTAAAAATTCACTCTGAATAAAATTTGAATGTTGATAAATAGACGAAAGAGAACCAATATTGAAAACTAAAAATATAAAGAAAGAACAAGAAAGAAAACTGTGGAGTATAAAGAATATAACAAGTGTATTTGATGTTGTTTGATAAATTTATAGCATAGATATACAAGAATAAATTAGTAAAAAATATGCTCTACAGATTGACCCCGAGAAGTAAAGCGTATTCAATGACCTTTTCAAATGACGAGTTCATGATGTGCAATACAATTTTCAGCTTTACAGTCTGCATTAGCGATCTATATTCTTGTTTATCTATGATATATAGTTTTACTAGTAATTATTAATCTGCATTAGCGATCTATATTTCTATGATATATAGTTTTACTAGTAATTATTAATCTGCATTAGCGATCTATATTATTGTATATCTATGATATATAGTTTTACTAGTAATTATTAATCTGCATTAGCGATCTATATTCTTGTTTATCTATGATATATAGTTTTACAAGTAATTGTTAATCTGCATTAGCGATCTATATTCTTGTTTATCTATGATATATAGTTTTACAAGTAATTGTTAATCTGCATTAGCGATCTATATTCTTGTTTATCTATGATATATAGTTTTACAAGTAATTATTAAGTTCCTTATTAAGTGAAATGGGTTTGTTCACACTGCACAATTGCTGTGTCTCATGTTCATATTGTACTATTTAAAGACATAAATTGAGTCTAAAGGTCGTCTTTTTATTCCAGAGTTTATGGTTCTCACTGTACATTGATTTTATAAAAGAATTTTGTTAGAAGAAACCTTTGTATTACTGGAACTTATGAGTGCGGGGGAAAGGACCATTAGGAATAGTAAAGAGAAACTTAAAGCCATTTTTTACATAGAATCTGAAATTAAATATTATATTATATTTGTATTTATGCATACCAAATAATCAGCTATAAAGATATAAGCAATTAAGAGATCTCGACATTCTGGCTTTCAAAAACTTTTTTAGAACAAGAGTTAGGATAGATATTTGTTTATTTTAAATGAGATGAAATGTCCCTTTTATACTTTTGGTTTTGGTAAGGTTTGTGAATCCGAGTATCTAATATTTGTACAGTCACATCACAGAGAAATATTGTCAAACATTAAAGGGATTGTAAGCATAATTTCAAGTGACCCTCCGTGAAAAGATGGCAATGCCCGATTTACGACAGTGCCCTTAAACGCTTTGTCTGATCAGGTATGAATTATATATGCATGATTTTGTTACAGTGATAACCAGAAATCTCTGAAATAGGAAGACTACTTTTATAATCAAGTTATAACTTTAAAACGTAAACTGAGCATGAGAAACAATAATTGTGCAGTGTAAACAGACCCCATTTTACTACATTAATGATTTAATAAGTTTCTAGTAAAACTATTTGCTTTGTAACAACATCAAATACACTTAATTATTTATATAATGTCGTCTTCCTATTCCATTTTTTCTAGTTATCACTGTATATAAACTGTATATTCTGAAGATGTAAACATTATTTTCGCATTTCTCGCTTATAAGAAACTATTGGAGATATTCACAGAAATGCCACTTTCTGAGTCAGAATATACAATTATTATGAGAAAAAGGTTTTCAAGGGTACCGTTGTAAAACGGGCATTGCTATCTTTGCATTGAGGGTCACTTAAAATTACGTGTACATTCCCTTTAAATAAGAACAAATTACGTGTACAGTCCCTTTAAATAAGA